GTAAACTGAACATAATCATTTCGAATCACCATGACAGAATCAGATAGTTCAAACTTTCAACTTTATTTAATTTATCTTTCAGTGAACAACATTCCCATTTTTACTTAACCCCATAAGTAATATTTTTACTGTAAATTCACGTAGCTTATACAAGAGCATTATTTATTACGGCCCACTTTTGTATATCATCATTCATCCACTGATTTAATATAAAACTCTACTAAAAGGTAGTCTGTCGAAGTAACTTCTATGGATTACGTTAAATGTACTGGTTTATTTTTTATTCTGTCAGATGATTGGAGGTAGTCAAAAGAAAACCTCTAATCTGGGTTTCGTGGTGGATGAGATTCTTCAGAATGCTATACCTGTAATCTTGAGGTAACGGGTGACATTTGTGGAATCAAAACCTACCTAGAGCTATATAACAAAAAATCAACCAATCTATAAAGTTGGCGTTATCGGCTATAACAGATAAAGGACAGTATAAATAAAAGTTAATACTTTTAGTTTTAACTTGAAGTGAAGTTTGCTTATCCAATGTAGGAATAAAGAAGAATAAAATAGACACCGAGTTGATGAATAAGTGATATATGTTGATCACTCATTTTGCATGTTAAGAACTTAAATGAAAAACATTGGTTTATATTCAGCTATTTACTAAATACTTTATTGAAACCTTACAATACAATCAGATAGAATATGTAACCTACCTGATAAATAGTTCAAAACTACTTCGGAATAATCACATATATCTCTAAGTTATATGCTTTTGGATTCATAAATACATTATTTTGTGATTCTTAAACACTCCTTGATCTTTCTCGTTTCTGTTTCCCTTCAGGATTCCAAGTTAGGGCTTGCTTCGTGATGCAGTTTGATAATTTCCCTAATGTGTCTCCTACTCACTTACATCTTTTTCCTAATTTCCTTTCTTGTTGGAAGGTGGTTTGTTCTCTTCCACAGCAGGTTGTTAAGGATGGTATCTGGTCAACAGATCTTGAATGTCTTACGTAGACAAATGTTTATAAATGCCTGTACTTCTTTGATGATGGCTGTGGTAGTTCTGAAAGTTTCAGCTCCGCACAATAGGAATATCTTGACATTCGTATTGAAAATTCGTAATTTGATATTGGTTAACAGTTGTTTTGAGTTCCGGTTGTTCTTCAACTATAGGAATGCTGTCCTTGCTTTGCCAATCCTTGCATTTACGTCTGCATCAGATCCCCCTGTTTACCGATGATGCTGACCAGCTAAGTGAAAGTTTTTACCTCTTCCTGAGTTCCTTCATCAAGTGCGATTGGGTTGGTGTTCTCTGTGTTGTGATTGAGGATCTTGCTTTTTGCTTCGTATTTGTTGAGGCTTACTGATGCAGAGGCAGTTGCTACATTAGTTGTCTTTGTCTGTATTTGCTCGCGTGTACGGGATAGGAAGTGTCTTCTTGTTCTTCCTTTGCTGATTTATTCTCTAGGATTTCAGTAGAAATTCATTCCTCATGATGGTGATTGTTGCGGTCCACGATCTCCTGACACGCTGAAGTTAGTACTTCTTTAATCCCTTCCCAACTGTCCTCCTTAGTAGTTTCTTCTTCTTTCAGTAGATTTTGTAAGACTTGGAACCTGTTGATAAGAGCTATCATGAATTCGTCAAGTTTGTCAGTATTTCGAAAGAAGTCTGTATCGAACTTTTGTACTTCTATTTCCCCAGTTGTTCAGTGCTTCTTTTACTTCAGTTTCATCTTGGCTACAAACAGGTGATGATGTGAAGCCGTATCAGCTCATCTCCTGGTTCTCATCTCTTCCATTGACCTGGATCTCCCAGTGATGCAGATATGATCGATCTGGTTCTCTGTAATGTGGTGTGGTCCAGTGAGACCCATGCAGTGAATTTGTATGCGTCTGCATGATAATACATTGACACCTACAACCATTCTGTAGATGGCATATGAATTTGCAAATAGCTTTCCATTCTCGTTCGTTTCTCCCAGTCAGTTCAGTTCGTCTCATGATATCTTCATATCCGGTGTTGTCAATTCCGACTTTGGCGTTCAAGTCTTCCATTAGGATGTCCACGTCCTACCCTGTGCACTTCTCTACGATCGGCTGCAGCCTCTCACAAAACTCATCTTTATCGTCTTTATTGTTGTGGTTGATGGGTACACAACACTGGATGACATTTAATATGACCCCTTCCTCCTTTGTCTTGAGATTCACATCCTATAAATGCTTCCCATGCAACTTTGCACAACATCAGAGCAACTCCTTGAGTGTGTGAAGCATTTCTCTCTTCATGATCAGAGCACAACATCATCTCTCCCGAATCCATGCTTTTCAGTCGAGTCTGAGTCTAATGGGTTTCATTGATTCCGAGCACCGTCAACTTGTATCTTCTCATTTCCAAAGTCATTTGATCGATCTTTCCGGTTGCCCACACTGCGCGAACATTCCATGTACCTATATTAATAGTTGTTCTGGTTGTTAGAGAGGTCATCGACCTCGTGACTTCGGAAGAACCTTGATTTTCATCATGAGTCATCATAATATTTCTGAAAGGAGATCCTTGAACTGGAAGAGCAGAATTTAAATGGTTTAATTTGTTTATTCTGGTCAGTGTTTTCTTAGCGAAGTTGTTTTCAACGAGATGGAGATGTTGACCCCATGCCCAACCCTCCTCTTTTGTGTGGGTTTGAGATCGGCAGTACCCTCAGAAGAGCTGCAGGCGGATTAAGAGCCTTCTGGAACTAGATTCCGTTTTTTAAGGGCTCACAATCACATCGCGTGGATGTGATTTTGTTGGGTTCTCAGCAACGCATGTCTCTACATGCAAATAGGTATCGCGAGCAAGAATAATTAAAGAATCTTTCGAATGTTACTTGAGCTCCATTGTCATAATTTATATGCATACTAGTTAACACACGAACTTTTAACCGGGTATAACTTGTCCTAAGTGCAGGTGTGCATACCCTGTGAACAGATATAAGTTACAAGCACATGGGTAACATACAGATTTTACCCCATGCATCTCACTACATACACATAGATATAGTCACCCACCTGGGGAGGTAGATGTCCTTTGCTCCCAAAGAAAACGTATTTGCAACACCAGACTCTCTCTTACAGATTAGTGCACATCATTCAGCCCATGGCTATCGCCTCAGTACTTCCTGACATATATGTAAAAGACTTTCTCAGGGGAGCTTGATAGTCGCCTCTCCTTAGTATTTGCTACCACTTCTTTTTATTGTCTTTGATCAGGTAAATGTGCCGCTGACTTTATCAAACATAAGGCTGAAATTTTCGAAGCTCAACTTTTCCTTTTGTACGATACCTCATGCATACCCTTTGCATATGCCTATGTACTTGAACTACATAGATCCTAGAACTTCTGTGATTTTTATACATAAGCATATACATTAGGTAGCCCTAGCTGTTACGTAAGCCTCAAGTATGGAACCAAGGTTGATCAGGTACAATAGAGTGGATGATCAGTTCGATCTCTGCAACCAACCAAATCGGCTAGCAGGGTTTTCCTCACTATTCAGCAACTTCAAGGGGAAACCTTAGGTCGGAATTTGCTTCACATGAATATTTTCTTTGAGATGCAGTATGCCACAAACTGATGTTAGCTGGCGAATAATCTAAAACTGTGTTGAACTTAAAAGTAGGGGGCTCTTCGTTATAGATTATCCAGTCATGCGCCTACACCATACCATATGAAATCAAACCCAAAATTTGTAGCCCTAATGGAAATGCCTCTAGAAAATAAGTGTGTAGTCTATTGGTTTATATTTAATTATCTTATCCTCGTAAATGAGATTTTTGAACGGTCGACACAACATATATATTCCTTCAAAATATGGTGACATCATGTTATTATGCAAGATAAAATCTCAAGGAAGATACTGCTAGCAAGAACGTTAAAGAAAAAATGGATAATAGAAGAAATACTGCTGCACAAAATCGCATTTGATTCTTTTAGTTCATTTTTATATTAAACTTGCTTTGTTAAAATGAAGATGAGGCATTTGAATGGTACTAATTCCACTTGAAGTGAGCTTTTAAAATAATGCAATGAAGGATAAAAAATATTTTCAATATATTTTTATGGGACCTTGAAAAGCATACATTCACGACTGGTATCTAAAGTAGCTGGTTTCTTCAAACCGAATCGGTTGAGATAACACGTAAGCGAAATAGTAGTATATAGACCACTTGCTTTTGTTTGGCTTGATCAAAATTATGATGAGATCTTTTCTGTGCATGATAGTTGGAGATAGGTTTGAAATCAGAATAACTTTTCCTAGCACATTTATTTTCAAAGCTGTTGTTAAGTTTCATCTGATGAGTTGTAGAATATTTTATTAAGGAGATTCTGTTGGTTACTTCGTTTGTCTCTACATATTTTATACCATACATTTTCTGTAGTTATTAATCATCCAAGCTTGAAGTTTACTTTTGAAAATATCTCAAGGCAGCATTATTTTGTTAAGCTCAATGCTGATACTTATTGATCCCACTTATTTATATGAAACCATTGCTTTTCTAAACTCTCTCAAAGCAGTAAGTTAAAACAGTTTTCATTTTCTAGTTTAATTTACCATCTAACTATATCATTGCAATACTTCATAAATCCTTGGTGTTTCAAGGTAATTACTGAAATAATTTTGGATCAGTTACACAGACATGGCTCTTTCGGGATTCCCAACATCGACTGCACTCTGTTTTTCTCTGGTATGCAATAAAGGATGTAATGAAAAACTGTACAGATAAGAACGAAAATTTCGCTTGTTCAAAACATCAGTGTATGTAACAGATTTTCAATTGTAACACCTAAATTATTTGTAGTTATCAAAATATAAGAGTAAAAATAATATACGAAAAAGTATTTCACCTAAATCACCTGTATTTTCTGTAAACCCATCTGATTGGTTGAAAGGGTACTTGGAAAATATATAGAAACATAAACCATCAGATGATTTAAATCCAATGAATAAATGAAGAATGTTTACAAATTTATCTGTGTGATTATTAGGCTTTTTCAGGTTTCATACACACATACAAGAGCAAACTAATATTTAAGTACTTATCAGGCTTAATTTAGCAAAAAAGACATTTCGGAGCACACATACCTGAAAATATTTGATAAAGTCGTATCTTCTCATGTAAGTAGTATCTTATTGAAGAAATCACATATTAGTTTTGATTAATGACCACTTATTCACTGAGTTTCTTAAAATAAATGATTTTTACTCTTTAGAACTTACAATATGTAGTCGGGATGGATGTTAGCTAGAAGTGGTATATCCAGCTAATGAGTCCATAATAAGACAAGACGTACGTCCTGGATTCCACTACTAGACATTATCCATCTCTGCTTATAATGCTTGTTACTGAAGGCAACATCAATGCAATTCGCACAGGATACACACACGCCCATAAGTGACTGATCAACTACAGTCCTAAACATCAATAATAGGATTCTAAACCAATACAAAAATGAATTATAGTATGTAGTTATTTATTAATAAAAAAAGAGTTTTTAATGTATTCTGTTTCTGAACAGCATGTTCATAAAGTTTGTTATGTCTTCAAGAATTATCAAGCGAAATCTGAAATTATAAGTAAGATATGTCATTCCTCTTTACATGGTTCACTCTGTACAGTGAGTGGCAGAACATATTAGCCTTTATATAATCGGTATCGTTAATCTTTTTCGAAGTATGTTCCGAGTTTGCTAATTTTTATAAAACAGTAGTTCGGAAACTAACAAGTGTCTGATGTCATGAAACCATCTGCAACTCCTAGGGTGCCTCATATTATATCAATCCATATTATGTTCATTGATGAATGAACCAATATTTTTTGAAGAACAACTCCCGTTTAAACAGAACATTCAAGTATTTTACAGTTACCTTGAGACAACATTTCAAGATCGTTGCTGGAACAAGTACCTGATAAAGCGTGTAATATTGACACTCAAGTTCAAATCGGAAATTGTGATCACTTAAATCTGGAAGGGTAGTGACAATATAATTTACTGACTTCGATTATGTATATGATTGTCCACGTGCATCGGTGAGGAGTCTAAAACGATTAGAAAACCACTATTCATTGTATTTTTGTTTTCAGCGGTTCTTGAAATAATGTCAGACAATTATGAAAAATACTTTCTAGTTATTTTAATGGAATTTGTTTAGATAGCCTTATACTGCTGATAAAGGTCATGTTGCTAGGGGATAAATATAAATGAGATCTGAAATTTTCGAATACAGAATATATATGTATACATGAAAATAAATTTGCTAAGTAAAATACATGTATGACAATGTTTTAATATTCCTTGAAAGAAATTCAGAGATTATTTTAGAATAGGGATAATGTAAGTTGAGTGAGGAAAACGATGATGATCTGTCAAAGTGTATCAACAACCCCGAAGAACCGTATGACTCTCTCAATATTCAAACACAAGATACTACTTCAGAGACAAGAACACTTACCTGTTCATACAGACAGTATTATATATAAACAAAATTATTACGAGAAATCAGTTTTCAATATAGTTGTTCTGATGTATTCCATATTTATTTGTATGACTATGCACTTCATTGTACTAAACTAAAAATCCTAATCTATCTCCTGTGAATATTTTCGTCCATGTGAAATATTAGTTGTTATATTTAATAGTATAGTAAATGTTATATCATTGGAAGTTATCGAGGTATTTTTAATTAAATAAGTGTGTCCTTTATGAGTGAAAAATATTTACATTTACCATAAGGGTGTATTTAGTAGAAAATTCGATAAAAGTGATTGAATTGATTCTGTAAATCATGATGTGAATGTTCATCGAGCATTACTTCAAAGTAGCCGATGAAATCATGATCCACGTTACAATTTAGAATTATAGCATGTATTTCATCGAATAGTATATTTCTCTCCGAAATACTATGATACGTTTTTCTCATATGTTTACAAAATATTGTTCAGATATATGTTAATTCGTCATTTCAAAATACCACGACTATAAGATCTTTGGAAATGGTGGAACCCTAGAAGTGTTTTTCGCTATAATCTAGGACTCCTTGAAAATGATAAACCAAGACCCAGAAAAATTAAGTCAAAATCCTTCGGACTTATTAGAATGAACAGTAACATCCTGCCAGTTAGCCAGCATCGAGTGTTCCATATGTTCCATTAGTTCATAATTGAGCCTAATGATCAACCTGTGTCGTGGATGGATAACTGGCATACTCTTGTTTCCACTGATTTCACAGTTCATAGTTTCCCAATAAGTCATCAATAAAATAATCTTGAAGGTATTCACTAACGATTACAAGATCGTTTCTGAAAGTTATTCGATTTGGTTGAGATTTCGTATGAGTTGAAGGTAATTTAAACCACAAATTGATAGTCTTGGTTGCATTTTATGGGAAAGCTTAAATTAAGATGAAACGATCGTTTCAATGTACAATTTTGTTGTTAGAACTTTTATCTTGAAGTAAGATTTTCACCAACCTTATACTTTTAATTTAAAAAACCTAAAATGTATAATTTATCGAAGTGATAAACACTTATTTGATTGAACTGATTCACATAGCTGGTTTTGTAAAAAAAAATTATAATTAGCGTGCTTAATAAAATTAAGTCTTTTCGTCACTATTATTCATTATATTATCTAGCAAGCGTTTAATTCTAACTAAATTTACACACGAATTTACGGTCATGAGAATTATTACCTAGGTCACTTACTTATTCGTTCACTTCCTACCGTTTTTTTACTCAATAAACACTGGTTTTTAATTGATTCTTTCTATCTTCAGTTTAGAAAACATTTCCCATTATATTCACTTAGTATTACTTGTTTGAATCTTCCCATTGATGTTTAGGACTGCAACTGGTACATCCAGCTGTTGAGTCCCAAATAGGACGAAATGCGCGTCCTAGATTCCACTGCTAGCGACTATCCATCTTTGCTTACAATTTCCCATTATGGTTATGAAATATTCAACATAAGCACTTTTAATAATCATCAGTCGTATTAATAAGTCACCTGTTGAACAATTACTTACTTACGCCTGTTACCCCATGGAGGAGGAGTATAGGCCATCCACAAGCATTCTTCATCGAACTCAGACTGAACATCAACTCATTATTGTTGAGCAATGCAAGAATAATAATAAATTTTTTCTCTTAAACAAAATCAAATAACTGTCTTACATAATTCAATAATTAAGTATTGTTGTATTATCAGAGTTGAATTGAGGATTGAGAAGTTATCATTATTTTTTAAAAATGTCTCCAATGTATACTGATGAGCCCCTTTAGTTATAAAACTTCATAGTCTGACATTTCTATCCAGCTGGATTAATTTTTGAAGTGTCAACTTTCCGTTAAATGATATTGTTTACTTTGATTTAAGAGAAAATTTTTAATTTATTATTATTTAACAAACGATCTTCAACGTGAATATATGATACAATCAAGATGTTCAAATGATGAAATTTAGTCTTTATTAATATTCATTATTACAAGTTAAACCAGATGTAGAGTATTTAATCTACCTTAAGTAAATGTTACTAACGTACTCTGTAACGGTTTTAAACGGCTAAGTTTTGTATCTCGACTAAAACAGCCTCTAATTAAAAATGTTTGCTAATAAGAATTTATTCATGTCGTAGGAACGAAATGTAAAACTAAACAACTTTAATCACAGTTCGTTTTATGGGCATTGCATAAAAAATTTGCAATACTATTGGCTTTTAATGTTGATTATAAATTAATTTGATAATAGTCATTAAAAGACATGATTATCTATACAAGCTAATAAAATTTATGAAACTATGACTATTCTGTATGCAATTTAAAACGGTAAGGTGTAGTCGTACAGTCATCGGTTATTGTACATCCATATCAGTTACGAACTATCGAAGTCACCTTCTTTAAACCTTGTCCTATGTGATCGATTAACCTTTATCTAGAGAAAGAATATAGTCTCAACAATCCAAATATTTTTGTTTCTATTTTTAACAATGGAAAAAGCCTTATTTGACTAGTCGTGTAGAACAAAATCCACGTTCTCCGCCCTGTTAACTCGAAAAATTCATAAAAATAACCATTTGAGACATCTTTTTTCGTTTATCTATTTTTGAACTCAGGGATACTTTATTATAGTCCTTAAAACTTAATAAGTTTACTTTAAAATTTGTTGATGGAAATTTGCCTACTTCAGTGCTTATTTTTCAGAAAAAATTAGAACAGATGAGACAGGAGAATTTTTTCAAACTTGCAATTAAAGTTTCAATTGACTAAACTGTCAAATATCGAAAGGATTATTTTAAAAGAATAACTCAAATGAATTATTTTTTCTAAATATTTAAACCAATCATTTGTTTTGAAAATAAATCAGTGTTTAACTTCGAAGTAGACAGGGTGTTATGCCTCCAGCTATATTGTAGGTTTTAGTTATGACAAGAAGAAGATGTTCACTATCACGAAAGGCAAATAATAATAGGTTGAATGTATAGTAATCTGTCATACGATCTTAGTAATCACTACCATGATTTCTAGAGAACATCTGCACACTGTGTAAAACAATATATAATCGTGAAAGTAATTTTTCGGAAGCTGTTGTATTCCATTGATTATTTTAATCTCCTTTTTACAGGTCCAACGTACAAGGATTATGTGAATATCTAAATGATATATATTTCCCAAATCGAAAGTTTAGTTACAATCAGACTGATAATATTGTGTTAATTACAGTTCATATTCTAGAGGTCCAGGAAGTATGTGTAGCTATATTATCTAGCACTAATTGGATGTAATAAATGCCTTGTGTACTTTGCTTGCGCGTACTGATACTCCTTTTGTTGCTTACAAACAAATATTAAGTTTATATAAAAATAAAACTAGATGGATTTTACCGCATGTAGGACAGGTAAAATGTGCGGCAGTTTATGTTTCTGATCATTCTCTTTGACAATTTATTCAAATAAATATTTAAAACGGATGGTATTAGAAATTATTTAGTTTAGAGATATTTTTCATCCTGGTCTGTTATTCTTCAGAAAATTATTTCAACCAGCTAGCAGCAGGCAGTTGATGAATTACATTTTTTGATATTTCACTTGTGAATAATCATGATTTTGTATATCATCAAAACCAGGACCCGTCACGAAACATTTAAATGGCTGAATTTCAGCCTAAGTGAACTTCGTGTTACTTTTAAACAACTTGTTGAGTTTTGTTCTTTCCAATACTTTAGAACAAAGGTAGCATGTTTGAAAAATTACACATATCAAAACTTTTCATTAAATTAATTAACGTTGACAGCTTTGAATAGAAATTGGTTCATCTAATATTTAAAATGTTTATAAGTCTGTTGGGAAACAAGTATCTAACTACCGACAGATACTGGCAAACTCAAAACACTAAAACACAGCTGACTGGGAACTGTTGAACTGTGTAGATATAATACGAAGGGCTATTCTGTAATAACTGATTTCTTTACATTAGCTTTGTATTTATTCGATTAGAAATTAATTAATGCACATTTGTTTACTGGTTCCCACTTTCTGAAACAACTACTTCAAATAAAAATACATTTCTATGTAGTCAATAATCGAATTGGAAGACGACTTTAATAAAACGAACTTCGACATTGTTGTATTTGTACGGAAGTTGAATTTCTCTCGAATAATCTTTTTCAAAGCATCATTAAAAAAAACTTATTTTTATGAATTTTTATTTTTCAATCTTAAAGGAATAGTAAAATGAAATTGAAATGATAAATGAATAGAATGCTTAGCATCATAATACAAGTTTGGAGTGATTTATAAAAAATCTGATTGCTTAACGAAAAAATTAAAACAAGTTCCCAAAGGCAACCCTACAGTCCACAATACCGAGCTTGATCTAGATAGGAATGGGTAGGCGTATTTTATTTATGGAATCAAATAAATAAAAAGATCAAGTTCTTTTCCTCTTTAAGTAGTAATTTTGCGACTCATTTTATATCAAAGAATATTTGAAAATGATTTATTCATTCTGGCAAATGAGCATTATATTTTCAGAAATTCACATCAAAGTTGTAAATTGCTTTCAGATATAGCGATTCTCAGTAAGGGGTGTATAAACACAAAACGTAGAGTCAAACATTTTTTAATATAATTATATTATTTAGTGTTATTGTCGATGAACTACGGAATTGCATCTCTTTAATGCTTCTATCTAATATCCAATGGATGAGGAATTCTTCATTTGTATTTACATGGAGCAACCTCACAATTGTTTAAGCGTCTCGACGATTGGCGTATCGCAATATCTTTTACACAAGCCTGTAGTTGGTTGATTAGCTAGTTGCTTGAATAATTGACTAACAGCATTGAAATTTTGCCAAAACTTTACCACAGCTAAATTAAATTGTCGCGAAACATAATTGCAAACTAATCCTGGCATCTCATCATTTTCAAAGACCAATGGGATCAGCGCCTAGCCAAAACGAATCTGCTTCCAAAGAAGCTTGGGCACGACGTTAAATAAATTTGTAAGGTTATTAATTTGAAACCCGAATTGAAAGTCAAGAAAAGTAAATTTCAACTGGAAGTCAATATAACAGTGTAAATTGCATAAGGCACCAACTAAACCCTTCAGTAATATACTTCATATTAATACATATAGACACGAAAGTAAAAATTTCTGACCATGTATTGAATATAGAGCCTTTAAGCCACTGAGTTTTGGTTGATCTGTTTACGTATCTAAATTCAGTTAGTTTGTGATTCGACTCGATATTTGTGCAGCAACATTGTAGGTTACAATTTGGATATTAGCTTTCTTGACTACACAGGTAATGGACCACTACTGGATGTTTAAGATATCCTTCTTGAGGATAGTCACTTTTGAAAAATGATTATGGATCGAAAATGAACCAAAACCTATAAGTATTTACCAGGATTGTTTATATTTATGAAACAGATAGATATTTTCTATAATATGATCAAACGTTGGTCATAACATTTTCATAACATTCATTATACTTGGGGGTTACTCCCTAGATTCAGTTACAAGATTTAATTGTTTTCAGCTCATGTTGTCCACATAATTCATTTTAGAATCTCAGTTGTATTGTACTGTTCTTGCTTAAGCTTAATTTAGTGATAATCCGAAATCTCTACCTTTTTCTTCTGTATTCGTATGTCAGAGACTATCAACTTTGAAGCAGAAAATAACTACTTGCATGTATCTAATTCATATGAAGAAGAGGAAAGTGAAACATTGAAAGTGCATAAATTAAATTGGAGTTAACAACCAGTTGTATTGCATCTATAATCCGATAAAGCAATAATGATAAACCAACTGAGTTCATTTTTATTTGAATCATATAATTCCGTTTGATTCATAACACTACTCATTATTGTAAGACAGATCTTTTTTTCATTAAAGTAAAAGCTTTCTAATTACAAATATTTAACAGAGTGTTGTTATGCAATATATATGCCAAAAAACAGCAAATAAGAGTTTTAAAGGTACCATGACACCATTAGATCCTACTAAACTCCATTGGAACCACGGGAGAATACTGCTTATCTCTAGTTATGGACTAGGTGCTAGTTAATACCTAAGGACTCACACATACAATCACGGTGAGGATTATAATTTGAAATCCACTGAGTAGAAAGTAATAATAACAATCAATTTGTTGTATATTGTGACTATCAGTGAGTAAGATTGGTGAGTTACTTTTTTCATTTCGATAGTGGTGATTTATTTGAAATTGAAGATGCAAAATCTGAGCCTTGAATTCAGTCTAATTCGGGTTCATCAGTTCCTTTTGAGAAAGAGTACTTATCTAGGAGGCAAGTAATATCAAATTTTCCCTGATTTTTGATAGCTCACCAGCTGATTTCCGTTCACAACGAACATCGTATTACTATGCTAACTAACCTTTACAAACTGACCAACTAAATAACGTTTATCTTAAAGTAAAATAAATATACAAAATAAAAATAAGAAACCAAGCCAAGTGAAAGCCAACATATTATGTCACTGGTGATTTAGTAGATCGTTTCATAAGTGTGAATAACCTTTATTTGATGAAATAGATGAACTAACCCTTAAAACAAGTATGAAAATACTAAACGATAAAGAATTTTGCCCAACTTTTCTCCATGCTTTATTTCAGTCGTCTAATAATATTTATATACTGTTAGATATTCTTCAGAGTTCCAAATCCTTTTTTTCATTTTTTTCATATGGTCCGGTGAAACAAAATGCGATCATAGAAACAGTGCTATTCATCAACTGTTTAACTTAATTTGTACATTTATTTTTTGCAAGAAATCATCTCATTAAAATTATTTTGATATAGAAATAATTTAAGGCGACTTGATCACATTTCATTCATTACTATGTTCTACCAATCCTACCCAACCAGTCGATTATCATTATGGAGAACAATTATATTTTTGCCACATTTGAATGTTCACTCATTGTAGTTCATCTAAAAGTTGTTTCTGTTTTAAATGTGAAACTCAAAATGTTTGTCAACTACGTAAACTGAATATTCCAGTCCCTGTGACATATGATAACAAAGTTGTTATTAAACAGAAATAACAAACAGAAATTGAATAAGTTCCCTTTAGTAACGCTATAATTATATAATATTGTGGAATATACTAAAGAATAAGGACAGCTACAGATGGTTATTTTGAAACTGTTACAGTAAGAGTCAGTATTGATCAACCAGTAACAAAATATCGTTTCTTTTTAGTTAGTGTGTTTTATTTGCATCCACCTTTTTCTTTATACTAAAATGTATCTTTTAGAAGATGGCTTCATTAATGAAAAGCAATAATGAAGAAAAACCCAGTTATTGACCACCAGTTCATGTAACAAATGACATTAAGTTATTTCATGTCTAAGTGGTGATTTTTTAATGCCAAATGATAAGGAAATGACTTACCAATTCCCAGCTCTACTCATTTTGCTTCGGTACTATGTAGATTTGCTCTGCTGGCATATTCCTATAGAGGGATTATCAAGTGGAAACATATTTCGTATATCCCTGTCTTTCCAAATACAGTTTCTAACCCACACTATCTTACTAATGATTGGAAGTAAGCTTTTAGTAAATTCCATCAAAACGAACGATCACGATTATATCAAGATATAAGCTATATATATATATCTTTAGAAATACATAAATTCAAATGTTTACGGATTTTTACACAGCTTTTAAATCTTTTATAATTCATCATTGACTTTTCAATTCAAAATAGGATATTAACTGATACAGAGACCCATTCATATCAGTCCAAATCGGTTTCTTCCGGGAATCATAATGAACATGTAGTTAGTCCTTTTGATGATTTTTGATAAATTTTCCATTGTTTGAGGATGCACACATTAACAGACCAACAAAATCGCTCAACGAGAAAATGTTTGAGTCACGATATTGAAATTTGTTCAAATGTCCGTATGTCACTGATGCATCACTGATTGCATAATTTACCCGGGAGTTATTATTAAATAGGTCACTAGTAATTGCTTTATTCTTATAATAGGATTTTTACCTTCAGATTCATATGTTGTCATTCCTATCCCAATAAAGCACAGTAGACCTTTTGTCGGTGAAGCAAAATGTATTCAGTCCAATAAATATATCATTACTAGCTAGACGATTGATTTTTGTTGTTCCTTTTTAGATTACATGCCGAAACCGGATATTTATTATTTAGAACCCAATTTCTTCTAAATAATTGTATAATGACACATAACATTCATTATTCTATGAGAATAACCCGTTCAAAACTGTTAATTTTTTGTTTTACAGCGGATCTCCGTTTATTCATATTTTTAAGAGAAAAAAACCATTCCTAGGTCTCAACACTACCCACCTCAACTTTTTGGAAACGTTAAATAATTCAGTGTAAGAAGTAGTACGTTTATATTATGTTAGAAGTAAATCCAGGAAAAGTAGAACTTAGTGTTTATTTGATATGAAGGGAAATGGTTTCTTTTTGAATCAATCTAAAAAATAGATGTAATAAGATTCTGTGGAATGAAATTTTTCACTTGAGAAATTACTTAACTCAACTTATTTTAATGTTTGAGTTAACAATAGAATCATCACAAATAACGTGCTAAGTTCAACTCAACACCTGAATGGACTAACTGAGATGTCCTTAAAAGTTAAAGGGAAAATGGTACTATTCTGGTCCCCAATTTTCACGGAATTACAAGTAATTGGTTTGTTTAATTCGTAAACAATTGATGTGAAAAAGATTTATAAAATCTACTTTGAGACTTTATTATTTTTTATTAACAGATAATTTTCGTAAATAAGATGTTGCATTTTCAAACTGTATTTTGGGTACAACTTTTAATTATCAGCCTATTCTACACTCACAAAGTAATCACATCAATGCCAATAGCTGAAGAACTAAGTATTGAGTGTACAATTCAATGCGGAGTAGAAGCTGATAAATGTCAGAAAGCACAGGCAACAACACAACCACTAATTGAAGCATGTGTACAAAAAATGTTTGAATGTGTCAAACACTGTACTGGACCACCACCTGTTGAAGATTATTATTATTACTAACCGAATAAACAATCAGTTGATTTATCGGTAGTATGTGCTCGTTTTACGAAGGTCTCATAATTCAATAAAACAAAAGTATGGCAAATGTATTACAGTAAGAAAATGTTTGCTATCTATTTTAAATATTAAAAATTATCAATAAACTTCTATGTCAAATTAATTTTTGTTTTCTGTCAAAATACTCTCGACTGATATATGCGGAGATAATTCGTGTGGTTTAAAACAATGTATCCTGATAAATTAGTTGATTAAAATGGATTTGGTGTTAACACTTCACTTACACTACTAACTAACAATGTCTAACATTCAGCTTATTTACTTACTTGTGACTGTTACCCCACATGGAGCATAAGCCACCGACCAGGAATTCTCAACCAACTTTGTCCTCGGCTGTTCTTTTGTTCTCAAGTTCTATTCATTTCTTGATGTCTGCCTCGAATTTCCAGGGTGAAATATTTTCTAGTCCACCGTTATTCCTTTTTTCTTCAGGCTTACAAGTTAGGACCTGATTCGTAATGCGGTTTGATGATTTCCCCAAAATGTCTCCTACCCACCTACAACTGTCTTTCCTAGTTTGCTGTTCCTTGGAAACTGGATGGTTCTCTTGCACAGTAGGTTGTAACTAATGATATTCTGTCAACGGAATTCGGTATATCATGTAGACAATTGTTTATAAATACTTGTACCTTTTTGATAATGGCTGTAGTAGTTCTTCAAGTTTCAGCTCGACACAGTAGAACTATCTTGTAGTTAGCCATGTCAGCTCATCTCCTGGTTCTCATCTCTTCCATTGACCTGGATCTCCCAGTGATGCAGATATGATCGATCTGGTTCTCTGTAATGTGGTGTGGTCCAGTGAGACCCATGCAGTGAATTTGTATGCGTCTGCATGATAATACATTGACACCTACAACCATTCTGTAGATGGCATATGAATTTGCAAATAGCTTTCCATTCTCGTTCGTTTCTCCCAGTCAGTTCAGTTCGTCTCATGATATCTTCATATCCGGTGTTGTCAATTCCGACTTTGGCGTTCAAGTCTTCCATTAGGATGTCCACGTCCTACCCTGTGCACTTCTCTACGATCGGCTGCAGCCTCTCACAAAACTCATCTTTATCGTCTTTATTGTTGTGGTTGATGGGTACACAACACTGGATGACATTTAATATGACCCCTTCCTCCTTTGTCTTGAGATTCACATCCTATAAATGCTTCCCATGCAACTTTGCACAACATCAGAGCAACTCCTTGAGTGTGTGAAGCATTTCTCTCTTCATGATCAGAGCACAACATCATCTCTCCCGAATCCATGCTTTTCAGTCGAGTCTGAGTCTAATGGGTTTCATTGATTCCGAGCACCGTCAACTTGTATCTTCTCATTTCCAAAGTCATTTGATCGATCTTTCCGGTTGCCCACACTGCGCGAACATTCCATGTACCTATATTAATAGTTGTTCTGGTTGTTAGAGAGGTCATCGACCTCGTGACTTCGGAAGAACCTTGATTTTCATCATGAGTCATCATAATATTTCTGAAAGGAGATCCTTGAACTGGAAGAGCAGAATTTAAATGGTTTAATTTGTTTATTCTGGTCAGTGTTTTCTTAGCGAAGTTGTTTTCAACGAGATGGAGATGTTGACCCCATGCCCAACCCTCCTCCTTTGTGTGGGATTGGGGCCGACATTAATCTTCTAAGGGCTGTATGCTGAGTTAACATTGAGCCTAGTATATTGAAAATACATTTTAAACATCACCAGGGATATTGGTATGATAACAATGAATTATGTGTCAATGACAGTTTTTGTAAATCCTGAGAAATATTACTCCAATAATTAGGTTTTTCTGTGTCCTCGTACCAGGGTGTGTTCGTCGGTAACCATAAACGACCATTCTTAAACCCACTGTTTTCTCAAATTTTAATAGTCTTTATCCACCGGAAATATAAAATCTAACCTTTGTCTGTTATACAATAGATTAAATAGAGGTATTTACTTTCTTAAAATTAATTTTAAGTTCAAGTTATTATCCTAACACAATCTAAAGAACAATAAACATTTAAAATCAGGCAGCACTGGACAACGTAATTTTCCGGGGTAGCACTATGCTGAAAAACGAGTATAGTTTAAATAGTGGTTCAAGTGATCCTGTTTACCACGAGACCTGAATGGCATAAGTCCAATACGTTACGAAATTGTTTGTACGCACTAGTGATGTCTCAAGTGGAGAGGTAAAAGAAATTCTGTGTTGTCTCATCATTTTGATGATTGCACTTCAAGACTGAAATTGATCTTGGTTGAAAAAATTCTTTGTGAAACCTCAACGATTCGTAACCAAAGTGAATAATAGTAAGATGTTTAACTTTTTGTCACGTTTTTCCGGGGTTATACAAGGACATATGACTACTAAATATTTTTATTTGACACAAACAAAAGATCATATCATATGAATGACAAGTAAAAGATCTTGATTGATACTTTGAGAATGGTTTGATCACTTGGCTAATTATTTGGTTCTAAAGCAGTTAGTATTAACGAGTTTGACACAACAGGTTCATCATATGATGCTCAAGGTAAATACTTACGAGATTTGATAATTAAATACTTATTAAGACTGTGTTTTTGTAATTCGAATAGGTATGAAAGAAATCAAATAATCTTGTTAGAAAAAGATCTTAAACAAATGATAACCCGAAAATAGTTCAAGAATATCACAACTGATAGATAATGCTACAAATTCATTAAGGTTCTTAGTAACCTTTGGTGGAAATCAAGATCATAACATGGTTTGAAAGCATTTACACCATCATAGCTTTCAAAATCTAACATCTGAATGAGCTATAACATAGCACGAACAGTTCAACATGTGACTGAACTAACATACTTTACCTTAATTTAAATTATAATAATACATAGTTGTAGATAAGCTAAAAGTGAATTAATCATCACCTCAATAGAATTGTTCAATCTTAAATGTACATATATTATTTAAAAAGCGTCTCATTCACCACATTACATCTTAGTAAACTAAAAAGACGCCAAGCACACGTGTTTAGCAACAAGAACACAGAAACAATAATGTTTGTTAATAACTAATTATACAAAACAGAAAAAATTACAACACAAGTCCTTCAGTTTCATCGTTAACATCCACTCAAAGACCAATACAGATACACACGTGATTATATGTACATAAAAAGCGTTGATTGATACGTGAGCGAAATTTTACCCAAGTCAACGATGCGAAACACATCTTCTTTATCGAATATCTTTGTCTGTACGCTTGCCTTAAATTCGTATACAGTTCATTGAACTGTTATGCCTAATAACAATGTTGATCAGTTTATAATTAAGTAAACTGGTTAACATAAAACGCGATATCGTGTTTTATTTATTATTGCAATCATATATTTATTTACACACCTGATTAGAAGTGTTTATATCTGTTAATCTCCCCAAAATTCCAAGTATGAATAAGTTTGCGAACGTGAGACTCATAATAAATTATCAGAAGGGGGGTTTGTGGAGATTTTGGTAGTTTTATGGTTAAAACCATGAGTCCAACCGAGTCTGTTGTGAAATCGTAACTTACTGAAGACAATGGTGGACGGTTGCTCAATTTCGTGGGTTGTTTGAAGTTAGACACTAATGCCGTTGGATGCCGGCTCAGTGGTCTAGAGGTTAAGCGTTCGCGTGCGAGGCCGATAGGTCCTAGGTCTGAATCCCGCGGGGTGGGGTCGTGAGTGGCCATTGCTGAGGAATCCTACACTAGGTTACAACAAATTGTATTATTCGCTAGCAAAAAATGTATCACTGAATACTATGCCAACAACTTTGCAGTTTTTTGTAATTACAGTTTTACAATCGTAAACATTTTACTAAGTCGCCTATAGTCCTCTTCGGATTTTATATTTGAACAAACCATCTGGCTTAGAAAGTACAAGCGTTTTCAATTATATACAATCATTTTATGAAAATCTAGCTTTAAAATCTTGATGAGTAATGATTGTCTCAAAACAACTGAAAAAACTGTATGGAAAGTCACTCAGTGTTTTATAACCAATTATACACTGATGATATTTGTTCGGTATATCCAACTATCTTGTATGAATAGTTCACTAAATCATGTTAGTATCCATCTCGTTACTTCAGAGGGATCATACAACCGCCTTGTTTCAGAAGTATTGTTTTAATTTTTAAGCTGTCAATTGTAGTTTTATTATCAATTGAAGGAGTCGTATAAGTGTTCTTAATCATAACTTGTCCACAAGTTTTGTATAGAATTGGAAATATAACATAAGACGTTTTTAAGATCTTCATTATTCTTTTATTCTACAATCTTTAATTTCATTAAACATAAGTGCCATGTAAATCGGACAGATTATAGTAGTCCTGTTGTTTGAATCATGACAGCACAACAGACAATAAAACAATTCCCAGAAGGTTTTCTACTTAACAAGTGATATTAGGCTTGAGAAGTTTTCGTTTACTAGTACTCTCCGTATTGATTCGATTCACATTTAGTTATCAGGATGGGGTTGTGGAGATTGTTAAATTTTTGATGGACACCATTAATCAATGAATGTTAGACCACCATTGAAAACCTGAAAGCACGATGCGCTCACTAGTGACTGCCTTCGTGAGGTAATTTTCTGAGTCCCAATGAGAAGCCGTGATCAGTGGAGTTAATCTGTGTCAGGTAGAGACAGGTATCTACACCAGACAATGGAAGATGGTCGCGCGATTGCTAGGATTGGTTGAAGCTAGATATTAACAACATTGGATGCCGGTTCATTGGTCTAGAAGTTAGGCGTTCGTGCGCGGGATCATGGGTGCGCGCCTCTAAGGAGTCCCATACTAGGACGAAACGGCCATACAGTGCTTCCAGGTTTCCAATGGTGATCTAGCATTTGTCGATTCATGGTCTCGATCAATCACAGTTAATTATTCGATAATTGACATGTAGCGTGACGAGAACATTTCCATAAATGGAACGAAATAAATAACAAATCAACTGTCTATATAAGCTGATAGAGGTTAATTTGTTAGAAATATAAGTAGTTTACCTGAGGTATAGTATCAAAGTAACTCTTAAATGTCTATTAGATTCACTGACGAGCATATACTGTTGTGTCGTGCTCGTACGGCGAGGTATCCAATTCT